AAACCCTATGTTGTGCACGTGTCAACACGTGCTTTGGAACCGTCCAATAAAAAAATAGACAAAATTAAGCATCTTCGTTCTGGTGTGAAAATCTTGGTGTAGTTTTATTTGAATATTTATTTATTTTGGATGAACTTGAACTGCATATATAAACAGAGCGGGCTTAAATTAATTATTGAAATAGATTGACTGACTTTGTTAATTACAATAGTACATCTCTCAGCAGCATAATCCTGGTCAAATGTTGACAAGATTCATTCAGCATGTTCCTTCTCCAGTGAAAACTTATATTTATAGGTTTACTTTGTATTTTTTATTTTTTTGGGATGAATTGCGTAGACTTGAATTGTTGAACTGATTGACTAACTTTGTTAATTACAATATCTAGGAGATTCTTCTTGGTTATTTGTAATTAACTAACAATCATCTAGTGTAATAAGAGGGGCTTTGACTAATTATAGTCTAGAGTTCTGATTTTGGTGAGCAAATTTGTTGAGTCGGAGTCAAGCATGTTGTCTTCCCGTTATAATTCTGAGTTTTATCAATAAAGTTTCTCTCGTTCCATCAAAGTTCTCTAAAATAATAATAATAAGAGGGGCTTTGACTAATAATAGTATAGAGTTCTGATTTTGGTGAGCAAATTTGTATATGAATTACCAAAACAACTACTTTTATAGTATAATTAGTATGCATTGAAATAATAATTGGAGTTTTCAAAAATGAACTCATATGATTAACAGAATGAGGTTCATTAATTATTCACAAGCTTATTCTACAAAAACCAATTATTGAGAGGGAAAGGGGTATGCAGAAAGATAGATAACTGTGACATTGTTTTGTTCGTTTTCTGTTGGTAGTTGGCACCACATTCCCTTGTCTTTGTATAATTTTTGTGGGTCAATGAATGTTGTATTTGTATCCTAAGTCTTGGGTAGATCTGAGTTCAGCCCAATTTTAACACTTGGGCATCCTGGAAACGAAGCCCAAAATAAAGACCAGATCCACAACTATAGAAAATCACAATGGACTCTAGCTTCCAATGTTGGGGTAATAAGCTGCAGATTCCATAGTGGGGCAAAATAGCAACAGTGAAACTTACATTTATTGGGTTGATATAATAGTTGTGTTTACAACACTTGTCTAGTGATTAGGTTGAGTGTTGTGTACTCGTTAACAAGATCTAGCACAATGGAAAATAGTTTTGATTTGCAGACCAATGGTTTCAGGTCCTAAACCCTGAACTGCCAATTTTTCTTTCTAGAGGCCTAGGTGAAGGGAAAATTGGGTGCGTGGATTTCTAAAATCCCATAAAGCTATGAAAGAACAAATCATATAGTCTATGCATATCATATATGAAATCAAATAAAGCGGAAATAAGAAAATAGCTAGAGATTCATACTAGTCTCTACTTAGGTCCCAATCTTAATAGGTCTATGAAAGTTTGCACCATTGACACCAATATCCTATAAAGAGAAGGTAGAAAGTGAGGTTACCTTTGGAATGTATCTTGAATCCCAAAATGGTATTCAAGTAGAGGGAGTTGTCCCTTAATTGTGGATTCTCCACATTGGTCTCCAAATAGGCACAAAAGAGGTTATGCCTCCCCAAAGTATCTTCACCAAGGTAGAATGAGAATGAGATAATAAGGAACCAAGAGAAGAAAATGGGTGCTAGCCTTTTCTTCTCTATGGTGGCCGGCCAAGGGAGACTAGGGAGGATGCTTGATGTCTTCCTCTCTTCCTAAATGCCTAACTTGAAACCCTAAGGAGGTTTGATGCTATGTGTATGAATATATAGAGACATTTTGTCACACATGTGTCCCAGAAAACCCCCATGTACCGCACCCTCCCTCTTTTTGGCCTTTTTAGGCTACTTTGGTCCACCACATTAATCACTTAGAGCACTTTCACCCCTATGGGCAAGGGCAATGACAATTACTATTCACTTTAATTTATTTCCTATTTTTATACTTAAACTTTAAAAATTAATTTTATGATTTAAACTTTATAGAAAAAAAAATTCAGAATTTTTTGGTTTTTTTTTCTTTCAATTTTTATTACATAAAAAATGGCAGTCGTTGGATTGCAGTGGAAAATTTGATCAAATGCTCTGGGTGCTGCCACGTGTCTTGTAGCAATGGAAAACAAATTTGAAAAGCGTGCTGATGCCAGCAACATCAGCACGACGTCAGCAAACCCAAGCAACAGCATGGGTTGGTTCTACCTTTGGGCCCTTCTTGCCCTTGCCAAACTGCTGCGGTGAACTTGCTCTTAATGTGTCATATTTTGCCTAAATCCATAAGGTCCATTCTTATAAATATTTAAGTTATATAGGACCAAAATTAAATTTCATAACTTTAATTAATTCATTTAAGCTAATCTAATTTGTTTGATTTGATGATTTAATCATTATATTGTCTAACAAATATTGGTCCTAGTCAAGCATTGGTCCTAGACTGCTTTCCATTCTTATCTTTATTCATTGACTTCTAACACTAAGACCGGATTAAGTCGGCCAGTTCGATCCAATTCATTGTTGAAATTCAAAAAAATAAAAGAAAAAATCGAACTAAACTACGTAAGCCGTTACTGTTCGGTCGGTTTAGTTAGGTTTTCGTTATGAATGCCCTTCTAATAAAAGGTGTACACACCTAAATACACAAAAAAAAGGAGTGTACGGACCACAATTATTATGTCTACTAGACTGGATTTTGTCATTTGCCTATTGGGCCCTCATAAGTTATGATTGATTTTGCCATGCAATTACCCCAACCCTAAATGTCCCAAACATTCTATTCTTACATTTTCTTTTTCTGATGGAAAAGCAAGATCAAAGCCAGTCAGATACAAAAGACTTTAGTACTATATATGTAGCCCTTTAATAACATAATTTCTCTTTCTCTTTTCCTGACAGTGCACACTCACTCAGTACCATATACATTGTCCAAGTGCTGATCATAATCTGAGTGGAAACAACAGTAAAGCGAGATGAAGAATTCGTCAAAAGCAAACACCTAGAGATATTCTACAAATGCTTTTTTCTTTCGAGTAATAAAATTTCTCTCGTGAGCTGCGTGCGGTTCACAAAAAGAAATATGAAAAAGATGCGAAGGGATTTGCATAATTTTCCTGCTGCAAAGTCACATTTTAATTAAACCTCTGTTTTTTTCTTCTTCTGGTCATAAGTGTAGGATATTAAATACACAGAAAATTTGGCAGGCGAATAGCCACACAAACAGACAAACAAAAAGCCACAAGCGAATTCAGAAACATCATGATCGAAATCTAAAATTGCATGCTGATGAATTGAAAACGAAGGGCGGATGGCTTCTTTCTTTTTGTGCCAACGTGTGCAGTCACAAGCATTGTGTGTCTTCAGTGTTGCTTCGAGAGCACGACATAATATTTAAATGGCCATCGGATCGATAAGATGCTTTTCTTTGCATGGCTAATTAACCTAGCTATTTGGTCCTCTTCTTCTCGCTACCCTTAATGGAATTTGGACAGAAATTCTGATGCTACACTGAGAAAGCATCAAATCCAAAACGCAAAAATAGGAATTTGGAGAACTTTGCATTGAATTCAATGTTTGGCAAAGCACCAGCGCCAATATTTAATATGAATGGCAAATCTAATCCCGGCCAACAAATCTAAACCCCCAAAAATCAAATATTGACTCAATCCTTTTTAACTAATGAAACTATACCAAAAGAATATAGAAAATTAAAACTATGACTTATTTGGAAATGCATAAGCACTCCTATTCATAACTACTTTTTTAGAGGCGCTTCTATTAGAAGAATGTCAAAAAATTTATTTAAACTACAAGTGAGCAATTGGAAGTGATTTGGAGAAGCATTGAGAAGTGATTCCTAAAGAAGTACATGCCTCTTTAAAAAATGCTTTGTGGTCCATAAGCACTTATAAGTTTTTCTATAAAACTCTATTAGAAGTGTTTTTTTATTATCAAAGAATTCCCAAACATACCCTTAATTTACATAATGTACATCGTTTCTTTATAGGGATATTGTTGCTTGCACACCCAAAAAAAAGCCACTTGCATTGCATAAATGCACGGAGAAGTACATCAAACTATCATATCCTTGCATGAATTCTTTTTTTAGTGCCTTTAGTGGACATTTCTAGATAATAAGCTTTAGTTGTGGTGGAACATGACAAAATGATACTCAAGTTGGACCTAAGTCAAATACCTCACCATTACATCACCATACTCATTTACCAAGTGTTTCATACGTGTGATATATATTGAAGCACCAATAGGGCAGTCCTGGAGTGGTGTAAGTGGCGCCACCGCCGATTTTTTAGGGCCCTCGAAACTTTGTTTTCTTTGTATTATACATTATTAATATTATAACGATTGTATATATACTCTAACGTTCTACATATTGACAGAAAATCATTTGTAACGGGGCTAGCTTTCTAGCTCGTGTGGTCTGGCTTTGAGTCTCATTGAAGCCATATATATTTTTTAATTTTTGATTTTTGATTTTCATTACATGCTAATTTATGATGAATTTTAGTCATAAAAAAATTATTTTTATGACATTAAGTTATGAATTTTTTTACAAAGTAATTTCTTATTTAAGTTTCGCACACTGCTCTCTCTACTTTTCTCTTGGGATGTATACCGACCTATATTTCCCCTTTGCCCTTTCTTGTCCTAATCGCATTATTAAGGCTTTGATGAATGAAACAACCACAAACAAAACCAATAGTTTGAGAAAACGAAAAAGGACTCCTTGACTCTAAAGCCATCACCTTGACCATCCGGATACATTGGATTCATTGCTAATATATGCATGGTCATTATGGAAGCTTCCGTCAACACGTGGGAACAATTTCTCAGCCAGAATGTTTGACACGTGTCTATTTGTGGCCCCTCCTTAAATTTCATAATAATAGTCTACATGTGCTTTTTTTGAATTCATATAAAATGCTGTTGCCCAACACTTAGTTTGGCCATGCAAAACTACATCATATATGGACTCCAGAGGAAAGGTCATGGAAGAGAAGGAAGGCGGAGAGGTTCGATACCGGGGCGTGCGGAAGCGGCCGTGGGGCAAGTATGCCGCGGAGATTCGCGACTCAAACAGGCATGGCGCGCGGGTTTGGCTTGGGACTTTTAACACGGCTGAAGAGGCAGCTAGAGCTTATGATCGAGCTGCTTATGCCATGAGGGGTAGCTTGGCTATTTTGAATTTTCCTACTGAGTACCCAGCAAGTGGTGGCTCTTCCTCTTCATCGTCTTCGGCTAATTTTTCATCTTCAGTGGCTGGGACTATCCAGGAGAGAGGTCGCGGGGAGCATGGAAATGAAGTTCTTGAGTTAGAGTACTTGGATGATAAGTTGCTAGAGGAACTGCTTGATTGTGATCACCAAAAGAAGAACAAAAAATAGTGAGGTTGGTATCCCTTTTTGGCGTAATAAGCAGCTATCCACCGTCTATTTCTGCAAGGCACATCGCAAGGTCAATGATGCTCTTATCTTTTCTTGTTGATATGTAACTAGATTCTGATCATCACCTTTTGCATGCGTTTGTTTTTTCAATGAAGAATCTAGCAAAAGTGTTGTGTTGTTAAGCTTTTTAAGATATGGTAATTTTCGTTGTACAAAAGTATGATATGCGCACAACGCAGAAAATACATCGTGAGTAGTTGTAGTACGTATGCACCTTTAATTTTCAGGGGTTGGTAATTTTTGACACTGACTCCAATTTAATAAGAAGTTGAGGATGATTACTGGATTTGACACAATTCACTAATACGCATAATAGAGATATCAAGTTATTGACTCTGCTTTACTTGTTTTGTATGATGAAAAGTAATGATTTGCTCATTTGCTTTTATACATCACATTATAAGCCTCATAAAATAGGATTACTTTCATGGTTTTTTCTAGATTGACTTTATGAAATGTTTAGCTTTAGACTTTTAGTCCACAATTTATGAAATTCAACTTGAATATGACACATAAATGAGTTAAGTTACGTACCATCGAACCATGTACAATGATAATTACATAAATCATGAAAAGGTTGACAAGTATTCGACATGAGTTTTTGAAGAATGTTAAAGTTTCACCCATGGACGGAACTACACTATGGCTAGAGTAGGCTCTAGCCTAGTGCAAAGGTTTGGAAAAAAGAAATTTAATACTAATTTTTAGGCACTACACACCATTTTACAAAAATTAACCCAATCTATCCAAGCAAAAATTAGCTTGTCCTATCCAAACAGATTTCTAGTTAGCTTCAAGTTTTCTCCTATGATAAAATAAATGGAATTTTATTTAGATCTTTACCCATATAAGAAATAATAGCCCACCTCTATAAAAATTTATGGTTCCGTCAACTAGGGGTGCAATTTGGATTGGAAAATCCGATTCCAATCAATTTTGTTATGACAATTTCCAATTTTGGCAAGTCCAAATCAATTCCGACCTCCGAAAATTCCAATAAAAAATTGGATTGGAATTGGAGTGTATCTAGAGATTTGCAAAAAATTCTGATCCGATCAGTCTGAAAATCAACCCCACTCCCAAAAAGTTGAGATTCCACCACAAAACCAATATAGTTAGAGTAATGTTCTCTTACCAAATTTGTAATATATACACTCATTTTAACTAGGGTAGTACCTACAAATATGAAGGCACCTACCTATTATATCTTTCAAGTATGTAATTAAGTGTCTAAAATTAAAATTTACAATTTAATTTCCTCAACTTTTGCCCCACATAAGAAAGGTGTCCTTCAATTTCGATTTTTCACCTCTTTGATTGGGGATAATGTTCTCGAATTTTCACCCCTTTTTCTAAATACTAGGGACTATTTGCATATGTTTGGCTCTCTTGTTGTTCTTACTCTTAATTGTGGGTTATTTTTGTACCACTCCCCTGCACTTTGGTTAGGCTCCTTTGCCTCCAATCTATAGATAATAATATTTACATTGTAACCAAAAAAAACTTTGTCCCACACCTCTGAACAAATTGACAGTGATGGACTGTTTTTTGAATTTGTGGCTGAAAATGTTATCTAAGTTATAACAAGGTTCAACAATTTTTAATTATATAATAGTCCACTTTAGTGATCTCGAGGAGCACCACAAATATACATATATTTATAAAAACCCAGAAAACGTAGCCGCCAGTCCTTTCATTTGGAATGTGGCCAACTTTATTTTTCACTGCATAATGTCTTTTTATTTTGTCGCAATCAAGCGAAAAAGAACAATTAATTAAGAAAAAAGTAACAAAAATACAAAAAGAAAAGGCAAAGTTGAAAGATTCCAAGCAAAGAAATATAAGGTGTGGTCAAAAGCTACACACTAATTCTTGGGTTTTACCAGAAAAGCTACAGATTGGCGCTTGCACAGCAGTCTGCTGTTTCTGTTAGGCGTTTTTTTCGGTTGCAAAATTCCATGTTAGGCCTCACCAAGTTTCGGAGGCCATGACTTGTGCTGGGGTTTAAGAGCACTTGTGAATTGAACTGGTTGCAAGCTAGTATTGGGCTCAGTTATTGAATACATAACTGAGGCCTGCTACCTGGTCTCTGTTTTGTTGAAAAAGTTGTGAGTTCAAAATTTCAAATGACCCGCAGTTGTTTTTTATTTTTTATTTTTAATACAAGCGATAGTCTAAATTATAAGGGGAGAAGAGTTTCTCATCCACAAATTATTAAGTAGTTATGAGGGTTAGATTTTGAGACCATTGGTCTGCAAGTTATGACTCTTTTCCAATGGTTAGACTCCGTTTGCGTTGTTAAATGAAAAATAATAATAATAATTTGCTCGAGCCATCCTGAAGACGAGTTTTGGTTAAAGGTGGACTTCAAACTCAAAGGCTACAAATCTAATAACAGAGATATGGAAAACGAAATTTATTTCCTCCTTTGCAATTGTTCCTCTCATCTTAAACACAAAACATGCATGCTCATTCATTTTCTCTCCAATCTTGACCATTTTTCATTTTTTGGGCTTTTATTTGTGGTGGTGGTGTTATTCGAATTTGTTCTCTCCTGCTTGCCTGGACTTGTTTGTGTCAATTGTCAACTACTAGTACTACGAATCCCTGCATTACTTTGACAAGTAAAGTACTTGTGTTCGGGACAAATTTGTCTGTCGTCAGCAGTGGTATGTATATATATTCTTAACCTTTATATCCTTGTCCAAATTGCTCTTCTAAATTAATCATTTCTTTCTTGGGTTGGGACTAATCCTGGTTTCATCTTAAATTCTTAATGGATGAGAAAAGAATTTCATGAAACAAAGATTCTCTGTTTGTGTTTGGAAACAAGGTTCTCTATTTTCCTGTTGCGTGATTCTAAAGTTTGTCAGTGGTACAATATGACTAAGCAAGTCCTGTATTGTCTCTTCTTCAATCTTTATTTTGCCTTTCACCAAGGAGACCAAAATATAATCTAGATAGTGATCCAACTTTCTCCTTTTTTCAGGATTTTCGAAAATCCGGAGATTGTTTTTTGTACTTTTCAAGCACCTCTTGCACTTTTCTAGTGAAGTCTAAATAACAATTTTTAAATTTATTTTATCAAAGATCTGAGCCAATCAAATTAACACTCCATTGGTAATATTATAATTTTTGAAAGGATTCATTTTCCACAACGAAAAAACAAAAAAACATGAGTATTCTCTATTGAGAATGCCCTCAATATGAGAAAAGTAAGAATTTCAGTATCTTCGTCATAGCCCATATTGCAATAGTGGTATTTATATTTCTAATATGAGAAGATATCCCAAATTATTTTTTTATGTTAGAAGCCGTCTCAAGTTTGAATCTCCTTTTCATGTTGATAATAACACATATTATTAGAGATACCGTACACATACATGTGGATATGTGTATATCATGACTAAAACAAATTATGACATGAAAAAATGTGCTTGCTAAACTATGGTTGAACAACATATATTATTTTATAGAAGGGAAATGTGTTCAACTCACTAAACAACAAGGGAAGAAAAAGGTTACACAAACACAACTCAATTTCACTTCCATTTGCTTTTCTCCTCTTGAGAATCAAGAAGGTCCTCCAACACCTGGTCATCCAAATACTCAATCTCAAAGACTTGCCTTCCTTGTCCAGTAGATGAACTTCCACCAGGAGCAGCAGCAGCAGCAGCAGCAGAAGAAGAAGAAGAAGAAGACGATGAAGAAGAAGAAGAAGAAGAAGAAGAAGAAGAAAATGATGATGAGAATCTAGGAGGATGAGGAGGAGAGCCCATAACTTGAGAATAATACTCATTTGGAAAGTTGAGTATGGCAAGATGACCCCTTAAATTAAAAGCAGCTCTGTCATAAGCCCTTGCAGCTTCTTCAGCCGTATCAAATGTACCAAGCCACAGACGAGCACCTTGCCTTGAAGGGTCTCTTATCTCAGAAGCAAACTTCCCCCATGGCCTCCTTCGGACTCCCCGATAACGCACTTCTTCGCTTCCCTTCTCTTCCATTCCTTGCTTCTGTAGATCCTTTCCTCTACGAGGGTCTTCCATATTTTCTAGCTTGATTCTTCGAATAATTTCAGGTGGTCGTTAATTTTGATTAGCCTTTCTGTCTTTGGTTTAAAATATGGTGGCATATAATGTATGTCATTGATGTATTTATAGGTGTTTGATTTTGGGACAAATGGGGTCATATCACATATGACTTATAGAATTACGTACTGTGATTGTGTGAGTCCACATGAACGTGGATTGACCAAGCGGAAATGGATGTTTCTTGGAAGGTTCTTCATCTTCATGTATATTAATTATTATCATCTAGGGCTATAATAGAGGTGCAAAAATTCGATTCTTCGACTCCTTCTATGATAAAATTCAAAAAGGGTTTGTAAATCTCTTTTCTTGATAGGCATTTTCTTTCAAATGGGCTTCGAATTCTATCTTTTTATGTTCATATTATGTGAGAATAATAGATTGTGTTGGTTGGTAATAGTTTTTTTCTTTCTTTCACTGAACCATTGAACTGTATTGTCACTTTACACAGAATATGTAGAGATTGATTCCCATATCACAAAGATTGGAGGAATTGGACCCATAGAATATGAATGCGTAATTGATTTCATCCTAATAACTAAGAATATTACAAGCATGCATTAGCCATACAATTTTGGTTGAAGGCAAAAATAGGAAACTCAGAAAAAGCAAGATAAGGTCTCAAGGGGTATAATTTCCTGTTTGGTGGAAAAGTCGACTGCTATATATATATATTGTCCCCTTGCACTACTCCCTCGTAATATGCTTTGATCATTGTAGGGATTTCAGATATGAGATTTTTCAAATCATATCAAATTATTCAAATGTTATTTTGTTTGATATGAAGCATATAGAATATGAAAATATTTTTGCTCACTACTTTAACTCAATGTGTACTCTCACCATCATTCTCAACACTTGACATATGTTCATAGACATAACCATAGTTAACTCTTTGCTTTGTATTTGTGGAACCATGGTTATGCTCATGTACACATGTCAAGTGTTGAGAAAGGTGGTGATGGTACACATTGGATTAAAATAGTGAGCAAGAATGTTTCGTATAGAATAGCGTTCAAGTGTTAACGACTCATTTTGGCTCACTCCACACTATTATTCTTTGATCAAAGTCATTCCATGATCATGGTTGCAAATATACACTCAAATCGAAAAGACATAAATTTCGACACAACGATATTTTAAATTACTCTAATGTATGTGGAGGGGAACAAACTTAGATACAAGGGGGCGAGTACACTGCCTTGGCCAATGGCCATAACCCACACCTGCTCAAGTTGAAAATCTTTAATTATTTGTGAATATTTTCATTGTGTATCATAATGTGTTCATCTATTTATTTTATCACAATTAAAATAACTAAATGATTTTCATTTTGAATTTTTTTTTAGAAATGATCTTTCAATGAGTACCTAAAATTGAACAGTTCAAATCATATAATATATTATGGAGTGGACCTGGCAAATAATTAATGTAATGTTGTCAATCAATATGGTCATAAAATGTGATTCCTTTATCTTTATTTGTAAAACGTGCTACTATTTTCACTCTGTATTCTATTTTCGCACCCACCTTACCTTTCCAACTACCATGTAAATTTGAAAAAACACAATCCTATCTTTCCACCCATCATTATTCCTAAAATACCCTTAATTATTATTTCAAGCAAATTCTCTTTGCTAATCATTAGTAGTTGAGATATTGAGAGGATCAAGTTGTGTTTGATAGACTAGATAAATGCTTTAGCAATTGAGGAGTCGTATGCTTTCTTCTTCTTTATTTTTTCTTTTAGTCAAACGATAGAATTGGTGGGTTACATGAGTTGAGGTTTCTTTTCCCCAAGTCCTTAGTCATTTTACAAAGAGGAAAGTTTGTCTTTAAAATTTTAAAAATAAAATAGGTAAAAAAATAGGACATGGGGTGGAAATAACAATATTCTTTATAAAACAAAACATAAAAAAGAGAATATATAAGAATAATGATCTTAAGTACATCATATATTCTTCTGTCCAAACAATCGAAAAATTCCTAAAGTATTAAACAGTGGCATAGGATTAAAGTAAAAATTCAGACCCTCCCTCTTCCAAAAATAAAACCCCAAGACACTCTCGTCGTTTAAAAAACATGTTCTCAAATACCACTATAGTAATACTGATATTCAAGAGCATTTCTCTTGAAAGATGCAAATCAAATAACCTTTTTTTCTTCTTTTCCAAATGGGATAAAATATAAGTTTTGGTAAACCTTGAAGACAAATTATATGTCATTAACTACCAAACCAATAACTCGTCCATAAAAAAGAAAGTGAAAATCTAAGGGCCCGTTTGATAATCATTTCAATTTTAGTTTTTAGTTTTCATTTTTCATTTTTTGTGCTAGAGCATAGAGGAAAAAGAGGGAGAATGGAAATGAGAATGAGAGTGAAGATGAGATTGAGAGGGAATATGAGAGAGGAGGATGGGAGGAAGGAGTAACAAAAGTGAAAACAAAAACTAAAAACTGAAATCTATTTGAAATTGTTTTCACTTTCAAGTTTTTATTTTCACTTTTATTACTACTCCCTTTCATCCTCCCCTCTTATTCTCTCTCTCAATCTCATCTTTACTCTCATTCTCACTCTCATTTTCCTCTTTACTCTAGCACAAAAAATGAAAAATAAAAACTAAAATTGAAATAGTTATCAAATGGTGTCTAAGTTACCTAACCTAATATATATATTTTTTCTTTCCAAAACCTAACCTAATAAATTTATTGGATGTAAAAAAATTAGGCGCTATATCTATATCAATTGGAAAACAAGAAGTCGATGAAGATTGAGGACTCCTGCCCCAAGCATTTTGTGATCACTGATTGGGTCGTTAAAAACAGTGGGACATACATAACCAATGGGCTGTGCCCGCTTGGAAAGTGAATCCCAAAAAGATTTTGTTATTTGTCTTTAAATACTTGTTCTGGTTACAAAGAAGGCTTGCTTTTTTATTTATTTATTATTTATTTTATCTTGCTCTCGAAGTATGGGCAAAGGAAGAAGAATTGGGGGTTTCTTTTGTTTCATGATTAGAGAAACGTTATTCTATACTAATTGGAATTGTCAAAGGTTGCATACGTTAGGCCATACGCACAAGGGAACATGATGAGCTCCGGCAGATTAGTTTATTTCATAGGTTCATCCAGGACAGAATCTTTATAGGATCAGAAGCTATAGAAAATGGTCCAAATCGTCTAAACGAAAGCTTTGACATTGCCATGATATTCAAAAGGAGCTCCTCACTAACTCCAATTTAGTATTAATTTAAAAAACAAAAAGGTAAGCAAGGAACTAAGAAACAAAACCAAAAAATAATAATAATTAAAGCAAAGAAAACTGAGAGAATTTGGTTTGAATGTCCTAGAACATGGAGACCAGATCATCCCTAGCTACTTTAAACTGTTAACGAAGCTTTGTATTCAGGCAGATTTAGTCTTGGATCAATTTAAAAAGATGAGGGAATTGCATTCTTATTTGCCAACACCTTTCCAATTTTATTAATTACAACACCTTAATCATGGTTGTTTGACCCTCTAAATTCTAATCCTTTGAATATTTTAGCATGCACTTTTTTCAAATGTTAGATATATGTGGTTGTTGTTTGAAAATGAAAACATTATCAAGCGAAAACTTAGCACAAAGAGCCAAAATTTGTAAGCATCTTGAATGGAAAATAATATTGAAAAGATGCATAGCTTTATGGGCATCTACGCCTTTTTAACAAAGAGTGGAGAAACCGCGTGAACCTAATTCTCATCTTGAAAAAGCAGTTTTAGAATCTAAATCTCTCAAATGAAAATTGGGGATAGCGGGAATAGCGGTGTTTTGTCGAGGTATCATAGAATGTAAAAAACTTTTGACAATGTCAAGATATAAACCTTGTGAACCTAAGAGATTTATAAACCTTTTAACAATGCCAAGGTATCATAGAATGCAAAAAAATTTACTTGTAACGGGGGTAGCGGTGTTTTGCTATCCCCGACCAATAATACAATGACACGTAGAAAATTATTCTACGTGTCATTGCATTATTAACCTGAAATAGTAAAACACTGCTATCTCCATTGCATAAGAGTTTTTCTCCATAAAATGAAGCTACGAGTTGAGCATGGATTGGATGCTCTAAAATACATTTTATGCTCGCATTGGCCCATCAATAATGCATGAGGTCATTTGAAAGTCAATTTGTTAACAAGTGGAACTCCAGATAACACAATTTGAAGCCCATTCCAAATTGCAACAGTGTTTTTAGTTGTACCCAAATTTGTTCTTTGAAAAAAGGTCCTCATTTTGGGAGGAAAATCCCCTCCTAAGGCCTTAACTTGGTTTGCAAATGCTAAGGACAGATTTCAGGCCCATTTTAGTTGACCCAGGTAGATGTCTTCAGGTTTAAAGAATCAAAATGAGGTGGAACAAAATGAAAATGCACGTTCGAATCTTCCCGTTCCTAATATCGTTTGTACAAATAAAATAACATAATATACAAATAATATCCTTTAATGAATCGAAATATTGTAGCCAAAAACCTTTAGTGGTGTTAATACACCTGGAGGCGGCGATAAGATCCTCAATTCACAATCTAATTGATAATTATCAACTAATTTAGGTAGATTTTTTAGCAATCAACTATACAACAAATTTTCATATATTTTGTTACTGATGAATCAAATCGTGCTCGAGTATAGCCAGTGAGCATTTGTCTCTTACAAGGATGATAAAGACGTACTACTTTGGATGAGATCCACATAGAAAGAAGAAAAAGCTCCGCCAGTCAAATTCAATCACCAAAATCCAGATGCATTGAGCCTAGCCATAAAAATCCCAATGCTAGCAACAAAAAAAATATATATTTTGGAGGCTGATTAATGAAATGAAGCCCCTTTTGCAGTCCTAGGCTAGGCATGCATGTTTATAATGTGAACTGGGGTTGAGGTCGTAAAATGATGAGTGAGAGTTCGCTGTGGGAGTGAAA